GATAAATCATCCGAAAATCATCATTCTGTCATCATTTACTCACCATCATGTCACTCCTGTATGATTTTTTTTCTTCTTCTGCGGAAGCACAAAAGAAGATATTTTGTGGAATATTTCATAAAATATCTTCTTTTGTGCTCTGCAGAAAAGAGAAAGTCATACTAGAATGTTCATTTTGGGCGATTTACCCCTTTAAAGAAGAACTAAGCTCTTGTTTGTGCGTATAAAATGTTTGTTTGCAATGCTAACAGCTTGTGCTTTCCTGTGAGTGAAAACTGCTCACAGATCTTTAAACACACACACTAGCACACTGAACAATTTAACCGCATTAACCACAATATTAACGAAGCGGAATTCCAGCTCATTCGATCTCTTATCGGCTCCCATGAGGTTTGATGAGGACCACCGGTGTTTGGCTTTAATGCTCCACATGTGGTGTTTATGCCAGTGCTCTGCGTGTTAGTTATTGCATATGATCGTTTGCATAAGCCAGTTAATGTGCCAATTAAAAATATTAAAAGACAGCTTCATTGGAACTGGTTGCAAAGCAACAGTTAGTGTACTTTAGCATTATTAACATTTATATTGTTATAGTCAAATTAACAGAAGCTGTAGATGTAATATATTGTGTTTTTGTTTTAACTCTGTTAACAACTTTAGTAGCAAGTAGTTTAGCTGGTCTCACAACCCATAAAGCTGGTTTTTAGCCCCTCTAAAACCATATATAAGACCATCACAACCAGATTACCAAGGCTAGTAGACTAACTAACCACCTTTGGCAGTTTTAAACAGTTTTATTCAGCAGGGCTGATTCTTTCTTAAGAATTGTTTTGAAACTGGTAATTTCCTGAGGGAAAAAAAACATATCTTAAAGGAATAGTTCACCCAAAACTGAAAATGTGCTGTGAATGTTCTCACCCTCAGGTCATCCGAGATGTAGATGAGTTTGTTTCTTTATAAGATTTGGAGAAATGTAGCATTACATCACTTGCTCATCAATGGATGCTCTGCAGTGAATGGGTGCCGTCAGAATGAGAGTCGAAACAGCTGATAAAAACATCACAATAATCCACACCACTCCAGTCCATCAGTGACTTGAGAAGCCAAAAGCTGTTTGTTTGCAAGAAACAAATCCATCATTGTGGCTTTATTTAAACCATTGCTTTCAGCTCAAATATGAGTCTCCATTTGAGAAGTTTTTAACTTAAACTGCAAGTCCATAATCCATAATAACTCTTCCTTCAGTGAAAAAGTCCATCTCCTGTTGTCTCTCACATCAAAATCCACACACATATTTGTTTAGAACTGTTTTGGCTTGTAAATGGTGCTTGATCTGTGCAGATTTCTCTCCTGATTCAGACCAGATGACTTTTTCACCGGAGCAAGTATCATTATGTATTGTGGACTCGTATTTTAGCTGGAAAGATGCACTGTAAAAAATGACTGTGAATTTAACGGTAAAAGACTGTAAAAATGCTACAGTAAAAACCTGTTAAATGGTTAACGGTAATCTCCCCTACTATATACGGTGAAAAACTGTATTGGACACTACATGTAATTTTACGGTAGTATACCGTTTTTGGAAGTGAAAAAGACCGTATAATTTACAGTGAATAACCATAAATTGACATTCCCAGAATTCCCTGCGTTGCATTTCAAATGTTGATGTTTTTTTGTTGAAATAACTATGTTCCTTCTTAGTTTTTCTTATCAGTTTTGTATATTAGGGTTGTGTGTTACACCTAATGTTGTTAAATGAATGTTTATTGCATTATTTCAGTTTCATGTGTGTTACCGTGATGGTGTTTAGTGTTTGTGTGAATGACACACTGTGCACCGTCTATATATGTTATTATTTAAAAGCTGCTTGTGATGGGCTTTGGTTCATCGTGTGACTTTCTCATCACCTCCTGCATTTGGTGGTTATCAGTGTATTACAAAGGTGCAAAACAGATTTCAATACTTCAATAGGTTGGTATATGAACATATATATCAGTTAATGAAATTACGGTATTTAACTGTAAATGTAAGTTAAAACCGTAAAACCTAAAATGTCGCTACCGTATTTTTTACAGTAAAATTCCAGCAACCACAGCTGCCGTTTTTTTACCGTAAATTTTACGGATTTTTTTTAGTGTGGTTTAACGTTAAAAACATCTTAATTATGGATTTGTTTCTTACAAACACACACCTTTTCACTTCTCAAGATGTTGACTGATGGACTGGAGTGGTGTGGATTATTGTGATGTTTTTATCAGCTGTTTGGACTCTCATTCTGACGGCACCCATTCACATCCATTGGAGAGCAAGTGAGGTAATGCTACATTTCTCCAAATCTGATGAAGAAACAAACTCATCTACATCTTGGATGGCCTGAGGGTAAGCACATTCACAGCAAAGCTTCGTTAAACTTCTTTCTTAGGAACAATTTTGTGAATCAAGCCCCCGGTTTGAATCATGTTGTTGTGTGTACAGGGGATTCTGGGTTTATCATCAGTCCGCACTCCATCCATTAAGTTTCTCATGGGAGGAAGTCTGATTTCCCGTCTCCCACCAGCAGAGATCCATACGGGAAGGTTTAGGGTTTGAACGAGGCACTAAATCTGTTTTAGACACTCAGACTTGTTGCGTTTTTGCTTTGCTGCCTTTTTAGGACATCAAATGATCGCCAACTGGGATTTGAACTATAGGAAACCTGCAGTGGCGCTTTAACTCAAACACAACATATGATGAGGTTTGCTGATCCGCGGCTCAGTGGCCCGTGTTTGCTCTGGGTTAATGGGTCATTTTGCTGTGAAATTAAAACACTTGTTTGAGACCCATTATCCTGTTTTTACAAGAGTGATTGTGACAGTCGGCACAAAAAACACGGTCACCGCTTGATTCAGGTTAAACGGTAATGATTTGATAACGCATTCTATACAAATTTTTTTAATAGCTAGTATATGCATACATGCTTTGTCAAGGTAAAATTAGTTTAACATTTAGAAATGCATCTTAAAATAGGCTACTTGTATTTTTGTAGGTATTTTTGAATGCATGAACGCATCCGGTGTGAACAGCCCCTTATTCCAGTTTTAATCATGCTGTGAATCAGTGGTAGTGTGTGAAGGTGTAGCTGTTCCTATTGGGTTTCTCGGAGGATGGAGCTATTTTTGTGTTCAGGCTAAATCTGGTAAAGTTTGAGGTTACAGTGAGGTCAAACAGAAGGTCAAATGTCAGAGTGAATGAGCTCTTGAGGACTGAGAATGACACTTTAGCATCTGATGGTCAAGACCGCGGTTTCTAGTTGGAGTTGGATTCATGTCAAGATACTATTTTACTCCAAATCATTGTCAGTGCGAACGCTTCTCAAACGGGTTATTCAATGAGAAAACAACATAGAGCAGGACTTTATCCATGAGGAATTGATTGGATGGAGAACAAATGTTGTTATACACTCTAAAAAATGCTGGGTTAAATACAACCTAGTGCTGGGTAAAATAGGGACAAACCCAGCAATTGGGCTGTTTTGACCCAGCGTTTGGGTTAAATGTTTAACCCATCCTTCTGGGTAGTAACCCAACCGCTGGGTCAAACCAGCCCAATTGCTGGGTTTGTCCCTATTTTACCCAGCACTAGGTTGTATTTAACCCAGCATTTTTTAGAGTGTATGGTTATGATTAACATATTAAGCTATTTCATTGTGGCCATTAAAGAATAATTTGTTTTGTGCAGGTAATAATAAGAATAATAATTGCCTAATAATAATAATAATACTATTATCAAATAAAAATTACTTTATTTTACAATCACTTTATCAATAAAAATTAGATTTTATTTGCAAGTGTCCACATATTTAAAATGCTGAACTGAAAAGAAAAGCTATATAAAATATGATGATGATTATCATTATTATAATTATTGAAATTATTATTATTAATGCTATTTGTCTAATTAAAGTGATTATCAAATAAAAATTATTTTTATTTGCAAGTGTCCACATATTTAAAATGCTGTACTGAAAAACGATATAAATATGATATTATTATTATTGTTGTTGTTGTTGTTGTTGTTGTTACACAGGTTTTTATTGGCCACAATGAAATATTAAATCGAATTATTATTATAATTATTTGTGGTAACATTTGTGTAATTAAAGTGATTATTAAATAAAAAAATAAGTTTTTTATATGATAATCACTTTATCCATAAAAATCACCGGTTTTATTTTCAAACACAGGTTTTTATTGGCCACAATGAAATATTAAATCGAATTATTATTATAATTATTTGTGGTAACATTTGTGTAATTAAAGTGATTATTAAATAAAAAAAAATAAGTTTTTTATATGATAATCACTTTATCCATAAAAATCACCGGTTTTATTTTCAAGTATCTGTCCTCGTATTTAAAAAGCTGTACTAAAAACGATTTCCTAAATAGCAAATAAAATATAATCCGTCTTCATTTATACAGTGTAAGAAATATAATTCGCCCAGTCATGTCTCTGTATTCCAATATTTACCCAATAAGCTGTAAGCTATAATATAAATATGTATTTGCATAACAATTTTGGGGGGTTTCTTTAAAGTAAACCTTTATGCATTTGAAATACTGATATTAAAATAAACCATCACTAATTCTTACAGTGCATCCAAATTTCCAACCAGTATAATTTTCTAAATCCTTCTGTCTCGAATGGAGACGATGGTTAAACACGTCTGCAGAATTGTAGGCTGTAGTATAATCAATTTAAGCCGGATAAATCATATGCAATATTTTGTAAGATACTGCTAAGGCAGCCTAGTGCTTGACTGTAGCCTAATTATATTTATTGCACATTTATTCCTCATTGCTAATTCTGAATTTGGCCAAAAAGCAAAGTCTGTTCCAGAGTGTTCTGGATGTAAATGAACGGACGGATCAGATGGATGATGTCACGGCAGTAATGAGTGAAACCCAACACCGAGCGCGCAGCGCAGCGCAGCGCAGCGCTGGAGATGCGCCGAACCGAGCAAGTCCAGACACATGCGGAGCTCAGAGCCCGGAGCGACTCTCTCTCTCTCCCTCCCTTTCTCTCGCTCTCAGTCCGGTTTAATACGGATCTTCTGACCTGCTCTCTCAATAAACCCGCCGTATCCCGTCATCGCCCCGTGTTCCCAGCAGCGCGCTTGATGTTCGAGGTCTGATCCGTGAAGTTCTCCATGCGCGCTTGCTCGCGGAGATGTGGACGCTGCTGATCAGGCTGGATCTGGTCTCATGAGCCGGTGGTGTCTTCTGCTGTGGAATTCTGTTTTCGCTTTGAAAACTGCTGCTTGGACAAATGCATACAAATGCATTTAGGAGCCCAACGGACAAGGAGTGGACAAGTTTCTCCCACAACGACAACGTGAGTAACTCAATCTCGGGGGCTTCTGGAGACCCGCTGTGCAAAGCTTCATTCAGGCTCTTCATAACATTATATGGGAGAAAAATTATGAGAGAACACCATACTTAGGAGTTAGTTCTTTGCGTGCTATCGATAATAAAAAGAACGAGCAGATCGCGATGCATTTATTGGCGTGCATTAATCATATAAACTACAGAAGTGTTTTAACTCGTGCACAGTAGACATGCATTCCTAAATAAATGCTGGAGTTTCGTGCAAACTTAGTAAATATAGTTTTCACTGCAATTCCAGTCTGTAACCCCAACACCAGATTGACTTCTGACATTATAGCCTTCATAATGATCACAAATCAATTGGGATTTTGAGTCTGTCTGCTGCTGTATTTTCCATATGTTGATCCGGGGTTAAACTCCTCCTGCTTTAGAACCAAATGTGCACCAGATGAGGAGGCTTTCTGATGTACTGGCTTATTTGTTTGCATACATGAACTGTAACTGGTTTGATAAAGTGTGGGTTTGGCTGAAGTGGTTGTGAAATATGAGTGTGTGTTTTTTACTGTGCGCTGTTACTTCCCGTCCCCAAACCGACACACAACAGCAGCAACATTCCTCATGGAGATGAGCGTTGACCTCTAACATCTGGACAGCCGTTCCTGACTCAATGAAATCCCAGCAAATCCACACATGCACCTGACTGTGAGCTCGCTTCCTCGGTTTATCTCAAAACACTGATGTTAGATAGCATGTTACTTCTTGTTAAATGTTGTTTAGGGGCTTCTGACTGAAAAAGTGCAGCATTTTCATGCAAAAAGCATTGTTCTGCCCTCTTGTCTTTCCAAACCTTTATGACTTTCTTTCATCAGTGGAAAAAGAAGATACTTTGAAGAATGTCTCAGTGTTTTGGACCCCATTGTTCTTCAAAATGTCATGTTTTATGTTCTGCAGAAGATAGAAAGGTTTGGAATGATGACCGAATTATAATTTTGGGGTGAACTTTGGCTTTCAGGAGATGTTTCTCCATGCAGGCTTTATTTTCTCATGGAAAATATGGAAATATCAAGGAAAACTCAGCCAAATTGGGTAAAGTGATGGAAAGTAATATAAATTTCCAAAACATTTAATTGATTAAAGATGTTGAGGGTCTTATTGGAGACATTTTGTGTACTATTAGGTTTAATCGTTTGTGTCTGTTCATGTCTAATCATGGAAAACTCTTGGAGATTCATTGGTTAAAAAGTGTGGAAACCTGATTTGACACCTAAAATGACTTCATAATCTTGAACCCAATGTAACTGGATGGATTCGGTCATATTAAATAATATATTTACTTTACTGTAGTGACTTCTTCCTGCATAATTACATTTGTCAGTTGAGTGTTGAGTGTCATTGCACATCCTCCAACCTGGAACCAATTAATTGGCCAAAAAGTGTGTGAACGTTGATCTGATTTGACACTTAAAAATTACTTCATAAGTTTGAACCCAATGTAATTGGTTGGATTTGGTCATATTAAATAACATTCTTGACATTGCAACAGTCACTTATTTATTGCATTTACTAGATGAGCGTTGAGTTTCATTGCACATCCTCCAACCTGGAACCAATTCTCTGGTCAAAATGTATGGGAACCTTGACCTGATTAAACAGCTAAAAGACACCTTCATACGCTTGAACCCAATGTAATTGGTCTGATTAGTCATAATAAATAATATTCTTGACATTACAATGTTCATGCATGATTGCATTTGTTAGTTGAGCATCAAGTAGCTCAGTGGAACCAATTTGTTTGTCAAAAAGTGTGGCAAAATTTGACAACTAAAAATTACTCTCATGAGCTTGAACTCAATGAAATCAGTTTGATTGATCAATTTGATTTGATTGTTACTAATGCATGCATGTTTGCATTTGATTGCGTTGATGCACGTTCAATTAATCCATTCAGAGTTGTTGTGCATCCAACACTGGAACCTGATCAAAACAGAGGAGAGATTGAATGTATTCAGAAGCATTATGTTATAATCTGCTAGCATTGACCATAATCATCATATATGTACAGTAGAAGAGAATGAGTTATTTTCTAAGAGTTATGCTGTCATTATTGCAAAATAAACCCAGCAGGGTGATCAGAAGGGTCTTGTATCATGCTGATGGGATTTATTTTTGCAATAATGACCATCAAAATTTCTTTATTTGTGGTTTTGCTCAAGTTTTCCATTACATAGCTAGAGATTTTTTTGTTTACTTACCAGGAACATTGCACTTTACTTTTCAGAGATGTTCACAGATACTATAGCTCTACTTGTTCTTGGTCCATGTTTGTAGAGACAGTGTCTTTGAAGTTGTTTTGTGTGCGTATTGTTCCTCATCTTGTCAAAAAGGCGGGACCTAAACCAGCATGAATTTCCAGGCTGGATTGTTGCTGGTGAATCTGCATAACCGTGCCATTCACCAGAGAAATTAAGTTGTTGAAAGAGTCAGTCTCGCTAGAGAAGAAGCTTAGCATCCAATACACAGGTCTTTTTAGAAGGTCCAGATTTAAATCTAACCCTGGGTTACCAACAGAACAGCGTTTTAGTAATGAAGTCACGCTCTGGCTGCAGGTGTGAGAATCCAACGCCAACAGGATCAGATATTGGCAGCCGATCAGTGAGCGAACGATCTCGGCTACGCGAGCATCTGCTCAGTATGCTGAGAACACGGCTTTAGCTCTGGCACGGACTGAAAGGAGCATAAATTATGCAAGCGCTGTGAATCAGAGAGATCTACATTAGCCACACCCCTAAAAGATGATTGGTTGAGACGTTTTTGAGCGACTTCCTTGCTGTTTTGTGAAGCTGTAAAGCCAATTGTGTTGCTAGAATTGAAGTTAGACGAACAATCGGGGGTCAAGTCCAAGTGTAAAGTCACAGTAGTTGCTTTAGGATGCTGTCATGTCAACTATCTCCCAATGCTGTGGACATTTAAGGTCAAAAAGCCAATATTAAATACTTACAGGTCAATAAGGGTCAGGAAATATTGGTTTCCTAACTGCAGATGCTACTGAAGAGCCAGAATGTTTCTTGACTGGCAAAAGTTTTCTTGACCTACAAAAGTGGATGCAACTTTCTGAATCTAGTTTTATATATTGAATAAATTGTTTGTATTTGGGGTCACATGGTCAGTTAAAATATTTGTAGCACTAGCAGCCAAAAAGTGTGGGGACCTTAACCTAAATTTGACAACTGACAATGGCTTTCATAAGATTCAACCCAATGTAATCTGTCAAATCTGGAAATTCATTGGTCACAACGTATTGCTACCGAAGAACCAGAATGTTTCTTGACTTGCAAAAGTTTTTATGACCGACAAAAGTGGATGCAACTTTCCGAATCTAGTTTTATATATTGAATCTGCTGTTTATATTTGGGAGTCACATGTTCAGTTGCAATATTTGTAACACTTGTAGCCAGTGTTGGGGAATGTTACTTTTAAAAGTAATGCATTACAATATTGCTTGCATTACTCTCTAAAAAAAGTAACTAATTATGTTACCTAGTTACTTTTTATGGAAAGTAATCCGATATGTTACTTTTGCGTTACTTTTTAAATCTGGTTTGTTTTAATATAAAATAAATCTATTTTTGGCCAATGTGAAAAGCCCTTTCACACCAAAAGTCAAATTTATAAAGCTCAGGCTTAAGAAAATGTAAATTCACGTCTGTAGCCTACAGTAGATGGCGCAGCTCAAATAACCCTTTCAGCTGTGCTGCTGTTCTGGATTGCATGAAGAATAGGATGCATACAGTTGCTGTTTTAACCGCACAGACAAACTCTTGTTTAGATTCGGCCTCCTCCGCCGTGTTTTGTTTGTGTTTTTCTTTTCTTTTCTTGGGCCGTGGAATGTCACACCGTCCTCTCAGAGAGAACTGTGGGAAGACAAACAAGTTTGACCAACCGATCAGGCTGAACAATACAAAACAGCAGGTAACGTTGATGCAAATCGTGTGTTTTGCTTGAAGGTGCTTCATGGACCTGAGAACATCTAGCAGATGCTTACAAATGAGAAACATAGCTAGCAATTTATGATGGAAAATTATTATTATTATTTTTTTAGAGTAGCCGAGAAGTTAAAATGCATAAAATACACATTTTGTTTGTTTAAAGCGATTGTCTTTATCAATTGATTGCGGTTGAAGTTCTGTTTAGAGGTGCATCTTGAAGGTTTTGTTGGTGGAGGATGAAATCTCTCGGGGGTTAGTGTTAGTCAAATATGATAACTAGATAGACTTCACTGGGGCCGCTGGTTTAAGGGTTATGAGGGAAGTATCTCAACACTGTGTCAGGATGAATGATGGTTTCTCTGACTCCATTCTTCTCTGGGAGGATTATATAACCAACTGTCAGGCCTGTATGAAGATGAGGTTTCTTCGCTGACGTATAGCTTCAGTTCCTCAAACTTGCAGTCAGTTGCATGTTAAGTTTGTGTCTTAACAACTAGTCTAACCAGCTAGCAGCTAGTAAAGGGGTAATCAGTCTTCGTTTAGAAGAAAAACTAGCTTAGACTAGTCTAAATAGTTCAGATCTGTTCTTTTGCAGGGTTAACAATAATAATAAAACAATAAATAATCTATAATAATAAATAAAATAAATTAAAAATAACATTTCACATCTTCATTTAGTTGAACATGATGTACTAAAAGAACTACAACTGAAATAAAAATGAATAAAAAATATATAGATGCATACAGAACTAGTAAAATGACAAAACACTATATAATTACTAAAACTAACAAAATAAAATGAAAACTGAAAATAAATAAAAAATATATTGAATTTGGTTTTTAAAAATGTTAAAAAGATATTTAAAAATATTAAAAATATATAATCGTATATCTAAATTGTAGTATTATAACACTGATCTGTTGAGCTTAATGAATTAGCATTGCTTTACAAAGATATGATTATTGGGAAGCTCAACAATATTTGTATTCATTTATTCATCTCCTTCCACACATTCAAAACCTTGAACTTAATCTTAGAAATAAAATGTTTATGTTTGTTAGATATAGCCTATGCATGTTTAAGTCACATAAAGTGGTGCCTCCAAAATGTATTTAAGCCACACATTTTGTATTTATTTAACAAAATATTAAACCGAGTGAGACTGACTTTAAAGAAATATAGCACCATTCAAGCAGAATATGTAATTGTGAAAAATGTTGTTAGTTAATTTGACAGACTTAAAGGGATAGTTCACCCAAAAATGAAAATGTGATGTGTATCTGCTTACCCCCAGGGCATCCAAGATGTAGGTGACTTTGTTTCTTCAGTAGAACACAAACGGAGATTTTTAACTCAAACCGTTGCAGTCTGTCAGTCATATAATGGAAGTGGATTGGAATCACGGCTTTGAGAGCCAAAAAAATACACACAAACAAAACCAAATTAAACCCTGTGGCTCGTGACGATACATTGATGTGTATAGACACGAAACGATCGGTCTGTGCAAGAAAAATGAACAGTATTTATATAGTTTTTTTACCTCTGATTCACCGCAATGACTGAACTGTCTCAGAATCGCAGACTTATTAATTCAATTAGGAGTGTCAATGGTCCATTTGAGAGATAGGTGACGGTAATGAACTTATAAGTCTGCGATCTGCCGTAAAGCAAGAAGAAGAAGAAGTCGCGTCACGCGCCGGCTGTTGAGGATGCGCTCAGGACGGTTTGGACATTGCGGTGAATCAGATGTAAAAAACTATATAAATACTGTTCAGTTTCTTGCACAGACCGATCATTTCGTGTCTTTACACATCAGTGTATCGTCACGAGCCGCAGGGTTTAATTTGGTTTTGTTTGCGTATGTTTTCTTGACTCTCAAAGCCGTGATTATATGACTGACAGACTGCAACGGTTTGAGTTAAAAATCTCCATTTGTGTTCTACTGAAGAAACAAAGTCACCTACATCTTGGATGCCCCGGGGGTAAGCAGATAAACATCACATTTTCATTTTTGGGTGAACTATCACTTTAACCTTTGGTTTCTGTATAGACAGATATGTTTTAGCAAACTGATCTTGCTCTTTAGCACCACCTAGGGTTGAGCCGTTTTAGCCATACAAATACTGTAAAATCCTTCTCGGGGCAGCAGTTGCTCACACTTTCTGAAGTGAAGGGCCATTTCCTCAGCTGTGCATTCAGCTTCTCTCGTCGACAGGATAATTACAGTTTATAACGGCACCAGATGGACCTCCATTAGCCCGTTCCGTCACAGTCATAAAACGCTTTGTCTGGGTTCCATTTCTCATGTGAATTATACTGTCAGGACCCCCCAAAACACACTCGCCCTCCCAAACTGAGCTTTCTCACACACATTCAACAGCTAAAGTACATGAGTTTGACTTTCTCAGTCATAGTGCAATGTCATGTGATGTCTATGGCTGTTTTTTTGCAACACCATAATATATTAATGCAGTTTATGTTTACATATATGTCATACTATGCTGTAAAGAATATTTTAGTATTATGTACTTTTATAGTAAATGTTAATATTTTGACTTCGCTTTTGTTTACAGTTTGTATTTTAATTGAAGTTTTGAAAATTGAGTTTTGCGCTTTGGAATGTTTATTAGTTTTTGTGTTTTTTATTAAATGGTTGTTTAGCTTTAATTTGCCAAGGAAACGTAGATTTTTTTAGTTTTTTTTGTTTACAGTTTGTTCATATTTATGCATTATCACTGCAAAAAGTGTTTTCCTCAGTAGAAAAAATTAAATATATATCTAAACATTTTTAAATCAATATACAAGATGGAAAAATGACTTAAGATAAAATATTCTCGTTTAATGAGAAACTGATCAATTATTTTATGATTAAAACATGAAAATATTTGCCAATGACATCAGAACATTAAGAATTAATTCAAAAGGTAAACAAGTTTGTTTTTCTGACCCCACTAGCAGATATTTTCAAGAAAATTGCAAAATGCAATATAAATCATTCTATATTAGTTTTTGTGTTTTTTATTAAATGGTTGTTTAGCTTTAATTTTTATTTTATTTCAGTTAGTTGCCAAGGAAACGTAGATTTTTTTAGTTTTTTTTGTTTACAGTTTGTTCATATTTATGCATTATCACTGCAAAAAGTGTTTTCCTCAGTAGAAAAAAATAAATATATATCTAAACATTTTTAAATCAATATACAAGATGGAAAAATGACTTAAGATAAAATATTCTCGTTTAATGAGAAACTGATCAATTATTTTATGATTAAAACATGAAAATATTTGCCAATGACATCAGAACATTAAGAATTAATTCAAAAGGTAAACAAGTTTGTTTTTCTGACCCCACTAGCAGATATTTTCAAGAAAATTGCAAAATGCAATATAAATCATTCTACAGTTTTAAACGTAATATGTTTCTGCATATATACTGTATATATATATATATATATATTCATGCTGTTTTTACTATTAACATCTTTTAGTAAATATTTCTTTTTACTCTTCTTTTTTTATTTCATGTCTAGTAATAATAGTACTTTAACTTGAATGCATTTTATTTAGTTTCCAATGCCACTTTCTATTTTTTAGATACAATTTTTTATCAAATATATTTATAATTTATTTCACCCTAATTGCTATTAATAAATATGTTTTTATTTTTAGTAAACAGTAACAACTGTATATGCAATGCAGTCTAAATAATTAAACAAGCAACATGAGGTCATGTGATAATAATGCAGGTTTGAACTCTCTTTCTGTAATATATTCGTGCGCATATGATTCCAGTATCTATTTTATTGTCATCAATTATCAGACTTTATAAAACAGAGTTCAGACTTGTTTGAAGCCCTTGTAATACAACTCATACACACGAGTGTGATGTAGCCTACAGGAATCATGCTTGGAAGATCTGTTTAGTGTAATTATCATTAATTGTTCATGAGATTTATGTCTTTTAAAATCAGTGTTGCACAGGAAGTTCTATGTTAGTCTGAGGTTTCTGGTTTGTAGCCCCGCCCACAGTGGAATCTTATTGGTCCAAATCTCATGTATTCTGTATTTGTTGCTGGAAACGTGTTGCATCGCTCCTGGTTAGGATGAGGTTTTACCATGGTTTTACAGTGATTAAGGGTGTTTTATAGGAACGTCTCTTATTGCATGGCCTCGAGTGGTTTACTGTTTGATTCTGAGGAGCACATGCTGGGTTCCTGTAGTGAGTCACTGGAGAACAGGCTTCCAGCAGGAATTCAGGCCTGAGGGATTCACAAACAGCAGGAATGTCTTCAACACATCTGATGCTTTCCATTCACGCTCGAATACAAAGCATCATGCATGGCTTTGCTGTACATGAGCGCTCACTTTCAGTTCGGTGTGAAGGTCGCAGTGATGTGGGTCAGATTGAGGAGATTTTAGATTGAAAAGCATGTAAACATCTGACAGCGGTTTGTGTGAAGGCCTTTGCTTTGGCAGGAGTTCAGTCGAAACTAGCCTTCAAAAACCAATTAAGCATTCTATGTGCAAAACGTGTAGTATCGCTGCGAAAAGGGATTTTATAAATCAGTACAAATATCTAAACCTTGTTAAAGCAAGGTACATTTACTAGAGATGTAAAACTGAGAAATTGTTAAAAAAGTGATTTATTTTTTATTAAACCAAGAAAATTCATTCAAAGGGAAACGTTTATTTTTCTGATTCCGGTGGAAAATAGTTTTTAAGACATGTTATACCTATAGCATAAATTGAGTTAAATATGCAAAAACTAATTAACCATTCAGTTTGAAATGTTTAATACTGTATGCTGCATATATATTCATATGATTAAGAAACGGCATGTGATTTGCAGTATATGCTACACTAAGGCTGCACGATTAATCAAAATAAAAACAAAATCCTGAAATGGAAAAAAAGTTTGAACCCTGCGGTATTCTTTCAAAATAAAAAATAGAAATAAGAAATAAAAAATACCATAAATATTAGTATTGTAATTTTACAGTTGTAATGTAAAATAAATGTATTATTATTATTATTGTGTTATTTTTATGTACTAAATTTTTATCAGCACAATAATATATTTATTTTTAATATTATATTTATATTATATTATTACATATTTGTATAACGGCATGTGATTTGCAGTATATGCTACACTAAGGCTGCACGATTAATCAAAATAAAAACAAAATCCTGAAATGGAAAAAAAGTTTGAACCCTGTGGTATTCTTTCAAAATAAAAAATAGAAATAAGAAATAAAAAATACCATAAATATTAGTATTGTAGTTTTACAGTTGTAATGTAAAATAAATGTATTATTATTATTATTGTGTTATTTTTATGTACTAAATTTTTATCAGCACAATAATATATTTATTTTTAATATTATATTTATATTATATTATTACATATTTGTATTTATATCAATATAAATCATTACATTTTAATATTTATTATTATTATTATTATTATTATAGCCATATTGATATATAATCACTAAGTTTTGGCCAAATTGCAAGCTGCAGCCCTACAAACAAGAAGAGCAAACCAGGAATCTTTTTAAAATCACATTTTAAATTGCAGTCACAGTTTTTATCAGAAGAGTTCAATTCAGTCAGTCATTAATCAGTCTGCCACAATCAGACCAGATTCAGTTTTCCACAATTCGATTATTTCCCCCAAATCATGCAGCCTTAGACTAAGCAGTATGCAGTATGCATACTAGTATGCTGGTGTTTTATGATTGTGTAAGTGTTTGTTGTTGATTGTCCGCAGGAGATTCCTCGTCCTCCTCCTGTCAACATGTGCGGCGCTGCTGTCAGCAGAAGAGCCATCAGCAGCTCCAGGTACACTCACCTCCTCACCTCTGACCTTTGACCTCTGAACTTCCGCACAGACTCAAGAGTTCGGCCTTAATCTAGTCATTTGGATGTTAAAATACTTCCTTGTATTCCAGTTTAACACTCAGAGCAAATCGTTTGTAATATTTAAAACGGAAGGAGTTCCAGTTCTTCAGTTTGACTGCGTTTTATTTGTTTTCCTTCTGATTGTATTTCTGTTTCTACGGTAATCACCGATCTGCCAGTGTGCATATTTTACTGTTAATATGAAACTGAGACTGTGTGAAATGTCTATGTAGATTGGATATAAACACACAGAGAAAGAGTTATGGAGCAGTGAGCAATGAGCAAACTCATAAAACATTTTACAGGCACTGAAAGGCCATTTGTGTATAATAATGCTTTTATATAAGCTATAATATATGATCGGCTCTCATATATAATGCATTGCAATCAGTTTGAATTACTGAGTGCTTATAAATAGATTAAACTGTGCATGTTCATATTCTGAACAAAGTTTACATTTATGCATTAACTGTAGCAGATGCTTTAGCCAAAGCAACATACAAGAGGAGAACAAAAGCAAAAGAAATTTGAGTGTGTGTGAGATTTTTACGGAAGCTTGTTTCCACCACAGAGTTTGTGACATTTTTTATCTAACAATTGCGAGATCATGTAGTGCAATTGCAAGTTATACTCTTTTTTCTAAGTTTACATCTTGCAATTCTGACATGTTTTCATAGTTCTTAGTTAAAGTCTCGTAATTCTGAGTTTAAATCAAAAAAAATTTCTCGCATTGTGACTTTCTCGTAAATTCCAATTTAATAATATCTTGCGATTCTGAATTATTTTGTCCTTGTAATTCTGACTTTTTCTCATAATTTCTGACTTTTTCTTAGTTTATATCGCGCAATTCAGACTTTTTCTCAAAATTCAGAGTTAAAGACTCATAATTATAAGTTTATATCTCGCAACTTTTCGTCGTAATTCTGACATTATATCTTGCAATTCTGACTTTTTCTCATAATTCTACATTTAAAGACTCGCAAAATATGACTTATAATAATAATAATTTATAATAATAATAATAAATATCTCGCAATTATGACTTTTCGTCGTAATTCTAACATTATATCTTGCAATTCTGACTTTTTTTTCGTAATTCTAAGTTTAAAGACTCTCAATATGACTTTTATAATAATAATAATAATAATTTTATAATAATAATAAATATCTCGCAATTATGACTTCGTCGTAATTCTGACATTATATCTTGCAATTCAGACTTTTTCTCGTAATTCTGAGTTTAAATCTCGGAATTAGGACTTTTTTCGTAATTGGGACATTATATCTTACAATTCTGACTTTTTCTCTCTTTTCTGAGTTTATATCTTGCATTTTATATCCTATAGTTATGACTTTTTTCTCTGAATTCTGAGTTTACATCTCGCAATTCTGACATTTTTCTTGGATTTTTCTGGGGGGGGAAAAAAAGTCATAATTCTAAGAAATAAACCTAGAATTGAAAGGAAAATTTCAGAATTGTGAAATAAAAAAGTTCTAATTACCTGTTTTATTTTTTTTATTCCGTGGTAAAAACAAGCTTCCATGAATTTACTGTAGAATGAAGGGAGGTTATTCAGAAGGAAACCAAAACGAAAGAAGGACATTCGGAAGCAGGGAAGGAAGTTCAAAAGGAAGGAAATGCAAGGTTAGCCTACGGTGAGCTGTTTTCTCCTCAAGGAAACCTGATCCAAGCTGGTGGGAGTATTTTGACATTTGCATCTATTTGTGTGAGATGGAGAAGATAAAATAAGATCGCAGGAAGAGAGATTGAGGGGGAAACATAGGCAACAGAGATTCAGACTGATTCAACAAATACAATATATTTATATATACAGTATACAGTGATTGTGCATTGATTTAATAAACATGCTTTTTTTTATTAGGCCATTAAGTTTCCAAAAGAAGAGCATGCCATTATACTAATTTCACAATCCGTTCTTGTTCAGACAGAGATGTTTTAATAGCATCACTGATTTAAACTTCAGCAAATGTTTTGACAGGTTGGCAAGATCGTTTGAAGTGATGAACGAACTTGCCAACCATTTGCCATTTGTTTATTTTATTAAAGTTTTGTTTAAATGTTCATCGGTTCCCGCCTCCTTCTTCCCGTGACTACGAACTGTGTTACATTGGAGGGATATCTTGCTGCGTGTCCCTCCTTCCTCCCGGGTTTCGGCACCAATGTAACAGCGTTCGTAGGTCGGGAAGAAGGAGGCGGGAACTGGCGAACGTTCAAACAAAACTTTAATAACAAAATAAACAAAATAGCGCGACAGCCCCTCGCGGACGACTGTCGTGCACAAACAGAACCAAAACACAAAATAAAATCCAGGCCTGGTCCCCTCTCCTCCATCACTGTCGTCCCTCCTCCTTTTATCCTTCCGGAGCTCCTCCGTGGGACTCGAGACCGGTGAGTGGCGCAGGTGTCGTGCATTAGCATTTACTCCACCGGCCTCGCTCCATTCCCACGGCTCTCGGCCCCGCCCCTCTCGCCACATTCACAAATCCCAAAGAAGATATTCTGAAGAATGCTGGTAGCCAAGCCGTTGCTGGTATCCATTGACTTCCATAGTATGGGGAAAATACTGTGGAAGTATACTATACTAGTAACTGTTTGTTTATCAACATTCTGGATTTATCAAAATGCAAAAGTGTTGCTCTATTTGTAATAAGTGTTGTTATATTGCTAAGTGGGTTGTAGCACATTGCTGTGTGGTTGCTAGGGTGTTCTAGGTGGTTTCTTACTAGTTCAATGCAAAAGAATAAAATAAAAAATCATACACCAACTGTCTACTCTGATTAGTTGGTCAAATTGGGAGACAGGTTACACACAAGTCTAGTCATAACATAAATTGTTTGGTACTCCAGATGGCCAGAGTGCAACCAATTGCCACCAGGCTGGTTTCGCTGCATCTCTTCATGATTGTTCATGATAGCGACGCTCAAAAAAGAAGTTATTGGCTGTTCAGTGTTCAGTTTGAACTGTCAAAGAGGTGAAAGTTCACAGGGTCGCCCATGTGCTACCAGTCAAAAACATGGCTGGCTCAGCTTTGAAGTCTAATTCTCTTTTTTTCATGGTTGATTAAGATCCAGTCTGTTTTTAAAACCACACTGAATCAAGCAACAAAGAGTTTTGAGGCACAGTAATGGCCTGCGTTGAACTTGTAATTCAAAGAACAGAAAGAACAAGAGGGAACAACGGTAACGTTGTGCCTCCAATGTTGTTGCCTTTTGCTTGTCATCTGTTTAAGCGGAGGATGAAGAAATCTGTTTAAACAAAAGCAGAAAGTCTGGATTAGTAATGAAAGTGCCGGTTTCCAACACAGCTCCTCAGAGATCTCTCTATGCACATTTTCAAACTGTGTAAAAGCTTTTCTGTGTTTGCTGACAGGAGGACAAGCTTTCCTGCTCACTTGATCTCAAAAACATACTTGCTGTAGTTCCTTACGGATCTGCTCTGCTGCCCTTAGGCCTGTATAACTTTATGATGTATTTAAAGTTGGAGTGTGTAATTTCCTCAATGTTAAAATGCTTCTATTCTAGCTTAATATACAGAGACAGCAGGTAAACCATTTGCAGGTTAATTCTTCTGAAAAGTATGTCAGTATTGAACAATGTTCAGTTTGCATAAGCATCTCAAACAGCCCAACACAGCAATATGGATGATGATGTGCGTTTGGTGCAGGACTATCTGTTGGGCTTGAAAACATTTGAAGTTGAACATTTGCAATTCTGTTTGGTGACTCTAGTGCAGTGATGGGCAAACTTGGCCCTTCCAGGCCACTTTCCTGCAGAGATTTGATCCAACCCTGATAAAACTCACCTGCCTGTAGCCTTCTAGTAGTCTTGAAGACAATGATTAGCTGGTTCAGGTGTGTTGGATTAGGGTTGGAGCTAAACTCTGCAGGAAAGTGACCTGGAAGGGCCAAGTTTGCCCACCCCTGCTCTAGTGGTTCAGAAATTGCAAATGTCACTTTTAAATCCAAATTCTGTTTGGACAAGTTGACCTCCACTCAGAACAAAAGCTTACATTATCAGTTAATGGGTACAAGTGGGAAAGTCTGGGTTAAAAGTAAGCATTTAAATAATGCTACTGCTTACTCAGTCATGTGTGCAATGTATTTAATGAAGTGTGTAATTTCTTCAATGTTAAAATGCTTCTATCCTTCCTTTATATGCGGAAACGGCAAGTAAATCATTTGTAGGTTGATTTCCCTGAAAAATGTCAACTAAAGCCTAACACTCTGTGGCACTATTAAACATTGTTACGTTTGCATGAGCATCCCAACACAGCAGCATGGACTCATCCAATGCACGGAACTATCTGTTGGTCTTGAAAATATTTAAGGTTTGCAATACTGTTTGGTGGCTCAAGTGGTGCAGAAATGGCAAACTTCACCTTTAAGTCCAAATTCCAGAGAACCTGGAAGTTTGTGACATTTGTTGTTTATCCAAGGCAAAATATGCAATGAAGTATGAGATAAATTTGATGCTAACAGATAGCTCATATAAGGTGCTAATGGATATTTGCACTATTCAAGAAGTAAACCTAATGAAATTATGTGTGATATTTTTTATGAACCAGGACTCTTCAACTCCAGTCCTGGAGGGATGGTGTCCTGCAGACTTCAGATCCAACCTTATCAAACACCCTGGAACAAGTCTTTCACGGTGTTCAGAATTACTTGCAAGTTATATACAGGTGTGTTTAATTTAGGTTGGAACTAAAGTCTGCAGGACTGGAATTGAAGAGCCGTGGTCTAAACTAAACAGATATGACGAGAAATTAATTCCTCAAAATGTCCTTTCTCGTCTCTCAGATGCAAACAGACTAATAACATTTGACAGAAAAAAGAGAATGATCCACACAGAAAGAGAAAGAGAGAAAAGAGATGTGTGGTTTGAGACCCCTACTTTCTTTTCATTGTCTCTCTTCATCTGGACCACAGATGCTATACAAGTGCTCATGGGTAATTTTTGTGATGTCATGGATGTCAAAGCACGTATTCATACCATTTGTGTGGTTTGTATTATAGAGGCCCTCTAAGTCAGAAATTGTTTTATGGTGACTGTCAGCGAAATGAAATTATTTAACAGATTTAAATTAAAGCCGTGGCCTAGTGGGTGGACTAGTCGCTCATCTCTATTACTCATCCTTTATTTTAGTGGTTTGAACAAACTTGGGACACTCTAGCGTCATGTTAAAAACCCCTTTGAACACACTAGCAGAACCAACCACACAACAAACTAGCATCGAAAGTCTTTCGAAGCCCACTTAGCTTCCTTGCTGCTTATAATTGTCTTTTTCTTTCTCTCAAGGTGTAGACCTTATTCATCAGCTGGGCCTTTCTGGTCAAAGAGACATACACTCTTTTGGGACACCTTACCTCACCTCCCTTGCCTCATCTCTGTCCATCCTGCCCCCTGGTGTTGGGGTTATCCTCGGACGGGATGCCCTCATTGAGGCCCCATCAGTGGACCTGCTCCCCGCAGGCGTGGAGGAGGAGTTTTCTATCATAGTGAGTTTAAGCTCCTGGCGAGCGAACAATGCCTTTATTTTTAGTGTGCGTGACGACAGGGACAGACTGCAGTTTGGCTTGCAGCTCCTGCCCGGAAGGGTAGTGGTTTACATAGGCGAGAAAGCATCGATCTACTTTAAGTACGATGTGCAAGATGGACAGTGGCACTCCTTCTCTGTGGGGGTCCGACCACGCTCCGTATCTTTCCAAGCACGCTGCGGGGCTGTGCAGTATGACGAGGAAACGCTGACCCATCCACAGACGTTGAGCTCTGAAGGCCGCCTCTCTGTGGGAAGGATGGACTCCAGGGCGGTGCAGTTTGAAGGAGCATTATGCCAGCTGGATATTTACCCCTCTGCCCAAGCTGCGGCGCACTACTGCGACTATGTTAAAAAACAGTGCAGACTGTCCGACACTTTCCGATCTCTGTCAGGGAGCTCAGAATCCCCATTCCCGTCGGTTTCACCTTCCCCAAAGTTTCACCACAGCTCTTCGGAATCACACACATTTACCCCAACTCTTGCTGATCACTCCACCAACACTATTCCCACAGCACTTTTTGACCAGTTTTCAACCACAAGCTCTCCGATGTTTCGCTCCAGCACACCTAGGCACATGAACCCATCTCCAAGAACCTACAGCAAGGTGCAATCCCTGGACCTCACTTCAGAGACTTCCACGAGCAACCCCGCAACAGAGAAGACCCTTGACGGTGAAAATGACACTGAGAATCAGCCGCTTCTCAAGAAGCCCAGAGCAACTCGGGCCACCCCGGACTTGAGCACCATCGTCAAGCAGAGCCGTTTGAAAGAGGCCTTGAGGAATGCAGGTAGATCCCACCAATCCAACAAAGAGCTTCTGCAGGCCAATCCTAAAGTGAACAGCACCATCCTGTACCGTGAAGAGAGCAGCTATAACCTGGTGGACCAATCTGAGGAACAGGTCCAGGAGGGGCTCGATGCAGGATACTCTGAGGGTTATGGATACGACTATGGTTTTGAAGAAGACGAATATTTCTTCGACTATGATGGATTTGTTGGTCCTAAAGGAGAACCGGGTCCTCCAGTAAGTACTCTCTGATTATCTTTCTTGTGCTTTTGAATGACCTCCATAATCTTCAGAATCAAGTCGCTGCAAGCCGGAGCAAAGCTCTACTTGAGAATTTATCCAAATTACAATGCATAAGTGTTCAGGCTAATTTATGTATTTTTCTTGGGCAGAATGAAAAGCTCTTTGAGAGAGAGCGTGGACTTGGCTGTGTTTCTGTGAGTCATATTTGATCAGGCATCTACTGGGCAAGAGAAGAAGTAAATAATTTGCCAGTGACAGGTAGTGATTTAGAAGCAAGGTGGTAGTTTGTTTTTGTCCTCCCGGACTTACAGGTGGTTATAATAGCATGTTCCAAGTCACCGCCAGTTGCTCGTGCTGTAATCTGACTGATGTGCTAATTTACGCCTCCATTTGTAAAGGAGTTTGCCTCACATAGCAACAAGATAACCAGGTGATGTCAAAACACTCAGTCTAGTCTAAATCTGCTTTCAAAGTCATGTCAGGATAATCATGTTTATGAGATGAGCGCACACGAATGCCACCGCAATGTTGTAATTAGTTGTGGGGAAACTCTGGGGTTTCTTTCCGAGCCGTAGGCGTATCATTGCTAGTCATCAAGATAAGCTTTAATGGTGAATGTTGGTACAGTTTAGTTTGTCTGTTGATGAACAGTGCTAGAAAATGCTACCTATTTAGCCCATTTATGAGATGCCAGGCCTATTTGGTGAACCCTATATTTCCCGTCATTCTCTACATAGATTAATTTATACAGGTGCATCTCAATAAATTAGAATGTCATCGAAAAGTTCATTTATTTCAGTAATTCAACTCAAATTGTGAAACTCGTGTATTAAATAAATTCAATGTACACAGACTGAAGTAGTTTAAGTCTTTGGTTCTTTTAATTGTGATGATTTTGGCTCACATTTAACAAAAACCCACCAATTCACTATCTCAACAAATTAGAATATGGTGACATGCCAATCAGCTAATCAACTCAAAACACCTGCAAAGGTTTCCTGAGCCTTCAAAATGGTCTCTCAGTTTGGTTCACTAAGCTACACAATCATGGGGAAGACTGCTGATCAGACAGTTGTCCAGAAGACAATCATTGACACCCTTCACAAGGAGCCACAAACATTCATTGCCAAAGAAGCTGGCTGTTCACAGAGTGCTATCTGTATTCAATTGTAGTACATAGATTCAATTGTGCATCTTAGATTTTCATTACTGTCTTTTTCACAACACATCAAAGACATGAGGCTATTTTGGCCTTAGCATTAACATATCTGTTTTGGGTAGTGAAAAATAGAGAAGAAGCAAGATATTTCCCAGAGTGTCCATTTTTATTCTGACCAAAATCATTTCCCAAGGGGACTATGGGTTCAAAATGATTAGCACTAGCTTAGACCTCAGTTTACGCTTATGGTATTCCAGTACAAAATGATCAGATTTGGTGTTCAAATAAAGTTTTTTGTATATATTTTATCATTTGTGTTGTGCCAGAGGGAATGATTGTCAATAGGCCTGTCATGAATTAGCTCTGGCTTGGCTCTCGGTTGTGACTCTGCTATGTTAGTACAGCATGACTTCTTTCTCCTTGCTTTTTTCACTGTTATAGCATGGGGAATATGGCTTGATTTACTCAGAGCAAATGCTAAATATAGCAACGTACATTAAATAAACTCTCAACAGCAGAACTGCAGGGTGGAGCGCAGTTGTATATCAAGTGTAGGTCAGTAGGCCATTGTGAACCTCAGTTCCAGAATCCCAGAATATATTCAATCACGCCAACAAACAAACGCCAGACACCAGATGATCTTTTTGGAAAAGATTACGATGACGCCCTGAAGCTCCTCTAAAGTAATGTTTTACTCATGTTTAAACAGTTGCCTGCACGTTTATGTGTGGAAGACTAAGGTGTTTGCATAAGTGGTTCGTGTGAGGATATGTGGATATGAGACATGACTTTGTGGATATTTTTGTTGAACGTCACCCTAAGTGCTCTCACTTGGCCAAGGGATATGGTGCATTCCTGTCTTGGAAGAACTGGGGGAGGTAAATTCACCAGCTGGGACTATCCAAAGTCAGCGTTTCATTGCGCTTTCCTCTCCTGTTGTAACTGTAATTATGCCTTGAAGGTACAAATCAATGAATGAGATGGATAGCTTTATGATTTTTATTTCCAGAGCCCAGAAATCAGTTTCTTAAAATATCTAATGACATTTTAATAATTCATTCTGTCATTTATCCAGAGCACTCTTGCTGTTCAGCTTTAAACCAGTTTAGGGAGTTCACCTGGTCTGTCTTGATGGTTTTAGAGTTGTAACCGTTTGTGAGAGCAAATGGTAGACCAATGCATCTCTTTCAACAGGGGTTTGATTACTGAACATGTAGATTCACCTGTGGTGTTCAGGCGGTTTGCTGTCACAGAGTTTCCACAGACCTCTGTCGGCCCTGAGCGCAGCTGCATGGGCCCGAAACATTTCGCCTTCTCTGATAGGCTGAGCACGACTAACCTCTGTTCCAGATGTTCCTACACATTTCTGTCAATAAGCAGCCAAAACATAAGAGACACATTAGGAGGACGACTAGTGCTTTCAAAACCTGTGAGGCTTTGTTTATGTGGGTCTTGAATAATGGTTGTCATAACACAGAGCCATATCTGGGAATTTTCTTTGCTGTCACTCTCATCTTACACAATACACAAGTCTAGTGTGGCTTTATATATGTACAGTGGTGTGAAAAAGTGTTGGCCCCCTTCCTGATTTCTTATTTTTTTGCATGGTTGTCACACTTTAATGTTTCAGATCATCAAACTAATTTAAATATAACACAAAGATAATGCAAGTAAATACAAAATGCAGTTTTTAAATGATGATTTGATTTATTAAGGGAAAAAAGCTGTCCAAACCTATGTGGCCCTACGTGAAAAATTAATTGCCCCCATCCTGTTAAATCATGAAAGAACTGCGATTAACCACATTATTTTAGAAAGCCGAGTTAAATTTCACTAGTCACACGCAGGCCTGATTATTGCCAGACCTGTTAAATCAAGAAATCACTTGAATAGAACCAGTCTGACAAAGTGAAACATGCTTAAAGAGCAACACATCATGCCACGATCTAAAGAAATTCAAGAACAGATGAGAATCAAAACAGTTGACATGTATCAGTCTGGAAAGGATTATAAAGCCATTTCTAAGGCTTTGGGACTCCAGTGAACCACAGTGCTATTCACTGTAATTATAATAGTGATATATTTACGGCAGTATTTCCAACAAACCTGAATGAAAAATAAATTGTTGATATTCCCCCCCAAAAAATGGCATACATCACATTTCAAGCTGTATCAACAAAGTTTTTAATTATTTTTATGTTAATATTTCAGATTTAAATGACTGATTTTATATATATATATATATATATATATATATATGCTAGTGCTGCCCCAGACTAAAGATTTTTCTGGTTGACTAGTAGTGCTTTCATTTGAAGCATTAGTCGACTAATTGCACGTTTATTAATAAAATTAATAATAAAGAGCCTTTAATTGCCTACATAGCCTATGCCTTCAAGTGCGAGCTTGCCACAGCACAGCGACAGAAGAATGAATGATTATGAATGTGTCATGGAAAAACAGTAAGGAGGCTGCATTAACATTTTATTAATTTATTGATAAACTAGTGCTTTCTTTGTTTTCGGTTTAAGAGATGAAGTCGGCGACACTGACTCGTCATCTTTGCAGAAGTGGATGCGTCTGTCTGCACGTTTAATACGGATTACATAATCTGAGAATATTTGTTTTTCATTTGTATTTGTTTATTTGAAAGTTGACATTTCGCTCTCTATAGATATATTTTTATGTCTGTAAGGCAAGTATGCACAGAGTTTCGGAGTTTAGCGCTCAAGTTCACAGAGACCGAGACGGCAGAAAGCGCATCCTGTTTGCTTTCATTATTTTACAAAAGCACAATGTTTTGTTGTTATTGTGAGTGCACACAAATAAACGTAGAGTCTTTACAGATTCGAAAGATGTATTACTCTTATCTGTATGACCAAAAATGAGGAGTATTTTACGAGCAAATTACCTCACCGGCGCCTCCATCTGTCCTGTAGTGAGCGCTACTGTTCAGCTTCCACACTCCACACAGACACGTGAACAGCGCACATTTTTCCACGGTAACATTAGATTGAGCGGCCATGTAAAGTTGCTGCTACTTACATATTTCAGATGATAAGCCATATTTGAGGTTGATGAATGATAGTCGAGCGTTTGGATGTCCTGTCCGATGTAGCCTATATATTACCACATAGACCAGGCGTTAACAATCTGCATGACTTCGCCAATGTGGATTCTTATTTATTTATTTATTTATTTATTTCCTGCTACTAAGCGACTAATAGAATTTTGGTCGACCAAGCCTCTTCTGTATTATTTAGTGAACAACAGTGTGGGAAACATGTCTTAATAATATTTAACTGTTTAAACCGTTATTTTAGTCAGAGATTTCAAGATGTACTTTTTTATTCCAAAGATTGATTGATTGATTTGATTTATTCATTGGTTTATGAATATATTTGTTTATGCATTTGTTTATTTACACATTTATGAATTTATGCATTTATTTATTTATTCATTGATGCATGCTTTTATGCATATATTTCTGCAATTAATTTTTTATTCATGCATAATAATTATAATATGCTTTCATTTAATATTAACATTGAAAAATATTAAAATAAAAAAATAATTAATATAAATGTATTGTTAATTATTTACTCTTATTTACCATGCATTTATTTAATTGTTTTTAAGCTATATTGCCCAACTCTACTAAGGCACTATTTTCTGTTAAGCAGGTTTAAAGTAATACATAAAATGTAAAAAAAAAAATGTGAAAAGCACTTGTGCACCCTTGTAGTAGGAGTGCACAATATAACTAAATGTATATCAGTATTTAAAAAATGTTGGTCTTTTACTATAAATCGTTGCTGGTCGACACTCATTGTACTGCATGTTTGTAGCAGCTGTCACACTTAACCATCTCCTTACCTTGGCTACAAATCAATCACTGGCCATCTTGGCAAAAGAGCTGATCTGGTCTAGATCGTTGTCAGCCGTATGTTGTTGCAAGCACTAAACTTTAAACTTTTATCGTCTCCAAGTGTTGTCAAACATCAAACACGCAATTGTAGCGGTTCCACCTGTGGACACACAGAGCGAATGAACTGTTTTGTTACTTTCATCTGGAAAAAACAGGTGTTAGTTGAGATTGAACATAGACTAATTTGTTCCATCAGAAGGCGATTAAACTGCCCTGTGAATTGACATGTTTGCTCATGCTGTTTAGTGATGGTTTGCTTTATAGTGAACCAGTGAAACCATGTTCTTATGAAGCTGTTTGACAAGGTTTAAGCTTAACCAACATCCAGTTCAAATGATTCACTGGTGATGAATAAAGAACAGCAGGTCAGTGTGAGTTTTTAATGTCCTTTTATGAGGCTTTTAAAACGCATGTTATAAATGAATCAGGGTTGTTTAGTTAGCGATGCTTCAGCTGTGTGTCATTCCTCAAGGGCTAATGAGCGTCAGCACAGGTTAATGGAAGCTTTTAATGCAGGGTTTTTATAGACGTGCGTTTGCTCCTAAATAGTTGCGTTTACAAGAGCCACATTTGGAAGGATGTTTTCATTCTGTTAGCGTTGTCTGACAGGACATTTGCTCAGTCTCCGTTTCTATTTCATGCCGGGTAGCACATTGATCCAAAATACTGCTGCACATAGAGGTTTATTAAACATCAAATATTTTCTAACTGCCTGCATTTATCAGATATTTTAGACTCACTTAAGACAAGTCTTTGCTAATGTTTAGTGTTTATTTATTTGCTAAATTATTTTATTTCTTATAGACACAGACAGATAGATAGATAGATAGATAGATAGATAGATAGATAGATAGATAGATAGATAGATAGATAGATAGATAGATAGATAGATACAACAAAGACTGAACAAAATTATAAATGCAAAACTTTTGTTTTTGCCCCCATTTTTCATGAGCTGAACTCAAAGATCTAAGACTTTTTCTATATACATAAAAGGCCTATTTCTCTCAAATATTGTTCACAAATCTGTCTAAATCTGTGTTAGTGAGCACTTCTCCTTTGCTGAGATAATCCATCCACCTCACAGGTGTGGCATATCAAGATGCTGATTAGACAGCGTGATTATTGCACAGGTGTGCCTTAGGCTGGCCACAATAAAAGGCCACTCTAAAATGTGCAGTTTTACTGTATTGGGGGGTCCGGGGGGGTCTGAAACCCAGTCAGTATCTGGTGTGACAACCATTTGCCTCACGCAGTGCAACACATCTCCTTCGCATAGAGTTGATCAGGTTGTTGATTGTGGCCTGTGGAATGTTGGCCCACTCTTCTTCAATGGCTGTGCGAAGTTGCTGGATATTGGCAGGGTGGTCGTGAATGAATGGCACAACAATGGACTTCAGGATCTCGTCACGGTATCTCTGTGCATTCAAAATGCCATCAATAAAATGCATCTGTGTTCATTGTCCATAACATACGCCTGCCCATACCATAACCCCACCGCCACCATGGGCCACTCGATCCACAACGTTGACATCAGCA